GAGTATTTCAAAATTTCAGAGTGAAAAATTTCCTATCTGATAACGGCAAATGCTTCACCGAAAAACACTTCTTAGCTCTGCTAGATTCCTTAAACATTCAAAGGATTCAAATAGGGTCGTTACACCCTCGGGCGAATGGTAAAGCGGAAAGCACTATTAAGACAGTTAAATACCTTCTAAAGAAAACTTTGGCAACCAACCCAAACTATCGATGGACTGATGTACTGCCTCTACTGGTAAAACAACTAAACTCAACAGTTCATCCAGAAACAGGTTTCTCACCGTTAGAATTACTCCATGGAAAATACTCTCCATCTAGTGAATCCCCTTTCCATCAACCGCCTCCGGAAAAATTATACCCTTTGCTACAAAACTTCAAAACTCTGGTAGAAGACAAACGGCAAGAAACAAATACAATCACTGAATTTCTCAGAAACGAAATGCAATTACGAAAACTGGAAATGCAACAACGCTTAAACAAAAACAAAGTAACTACAACCTTCAATGTTGGAGATTATTGTTTCATCAAAGACAGATCTATTACAGTAGGAGTAAATCCCTCTCTCAGAACCTTCTACCACCCTGATCCTCACATTGTTCTACAAGACCGCCCAACGACCGTCGTAGTTCGCCGACTAGCTGATTCGTTCCAGTCTGTATACAGCAAAGACGATGTAAATAAATATAACAGATTAGACGCCACCTTCATTCACTTACCGAAACCAGTAAGAGAGGTACTGGTCAACACATTTGAGAATCTCAACAAACTTGATTTCAACACTCTACAAACTCACGCTAAATTAACTCTACCTCAAGCCCTAAGTTTAAATGAGGAAAATTACCAGGATGACACTGACAACAACGCCAAACATGTATTGCTTTTACAATTTACAAAATTTTTGCAGTTCGGCAACTGAAAAATACTTTGATCATCCAGCTTTATACTGGAGGGGGAGATATTTTTCGAAATCCATATTGTTTTATTTTTATTTACTACACCTTCTGGAAGTAAAAAAGGCCAAGGTTCTCTTCGAAACTTTAACAAGTAAACCATCCATTTATTTGAAATTGCATAGAATAATTAAAAATGTCGGTTTCATTCCCATAAATCAATGCATAGAAACCCCATTTATTATCGATAAACACATCGCTTATTGCCGCTTTAACGATTTTGACATGAATCCAAGCGAAGAACTTTATTCGGGGAATAAACATTTTTACCACTGTCGGACATGGCAAAAACTTGGTCTATCAAGGGATTTGAAATGCTTTTCAGCCTAAGGGACAAGTCCTTGGGGCATACCTAACCGCCATGTACAGTATCTAAGGTTAGATTTTGAACCTTTTTCCACCATTCCATAAACTCATATTTATTTTCTTGCTCCTGCAATTCACCTGCTTAACTTGAATTTTCACTTCAAGTCCATAAAATAAATTCTTCAAAGTTAAAAACAATTCATACTTTCTCAATTGCCTATGCTTTGTTCTTATATGTGAGTATTATTCCAACTAACTCTTATGTGAAGCTTATAATCTTGCAATCGGATAGATTCAAATTTTTTGAACTTAAACTATTACAGAATTACTAGGATGCCAGTCCCTACGGACAATGGGAACGATATCAACCACCCGGTTGTTCCTCCCCCTACCCCACCACCCGATCCTCCTCCAACACCCCCTCCGCCTGTAGAGAACCTACCAGTTGAACCCCCCCTGGCCGGGGTCAATGGCATTATCCCTCACCTGGCTCAAAACGTAATAGTAAACAATAACAACAATCGGGTTGACCAACCTCCGCAACCAGTTAACCCCTCTCAAAATGCAACCGAAACCGAAAGGCAAAATTTAGATTTGGAGGAAGATATTTTTCAAAGTCCTCTTTCTGAATTACGGGCAGCCTCCAACATTCTTATCAGGGAGGCAAACACATCACCTAGAAGAAGGCGTTTATTACCAGGACCAACCTTGTTGCCCCTGGCAAGACACCGCGTCAATCTGAGGCCTTATATTCCCCGAAGGGAATGGCTCCACCTCGCACATTATTGCGGATTTAACGTTGAATCTCCTTCTTCACAGAGCAAAGCCAGAGGAACCTTTGCTTCCTAATGAACTTCCTGCCTTAGAAATTCAAGAATGTGCAACTTGCAAATTGGTTCCCAAGGTACAAACCATTTTTTTTTAAAAGCTACTTAATTCAAAATTTTCATAAAATATAACTACCTAAATCCTTACAATGCAAAATTATGCAACTATTTGTTCATGTAATTTTCTCACTTTTCTAAAAAATTCCTGGCAAACAAGTTATAATCTTAAAA